CGCCGCCGCCGCCCGCTGGAGCCCGTCCGCGCTCCGCCGCCGCCGCGGGGTGCCAGCCGCCGGCACCGCGGGGCTATAGATAGTAGGGACAGGCTTTATGAATTAATGGCTGACTCTTTGCCCTCAAATTTGAAAATTATTCCTTTCGGTGTCTGCTGGATTCTAGGAACCAGACAGAAGATTTGGCAAAACCCTCTTCAGTTCCACGCAATTATTTTTTTTTCCCCCTTTCTCGAGCGCATTAAATCAAATGCATATTGTCTAAATCAACCGCGCATGGTGTCAATAGCTGAACTTGGGGAGCTCCGGCCGCATTTCGGGTGGGAGAGGCAGCTCTGCTCGGCTACTCATCGTTTAATAAAGGAGATTAGTGTGCGCAGATGGAGTGCCACGAAACGTCTGGGTCTTGCTGATGGGGAGGGAAAAAAAAGCGGTTTTCCCTCTCTCCCCAAGCAATCTTTTCACCCAATGAGAAGATTACACCACGTCAGACGTGGACTAAGGAGTTTCTCATCCCTGACAGACACGGGAGGGTCAGCGGGGAGGAAGGCAACCTTTACGGGAGCCGAGGACAGCAGAGCGCGACAAGGCGAGGTTGCAGGCAAGAATGAGTGTATGCTAGAAAGTCTGCCTAAATCTGCAAGCAATTGCGTTTGCTACTAGCTGCCTAACAGCCATGCCGTCAAGACCACCCTGGGAGCTTTGAAAAAAAGCACTGGGACTTCGCACCTCGCCTGCAGAGAGCCGCGCTCGCTGGCTTTGAACCTTGCTAGATCACGGGGGTTGTACAAGTCTCAGGGGGTTTCTGGTCCTCGCAGGACGAGTCCAGCAATCGCTGTTCTGCCGCTTTCCCTTCCCCACCAGATTCGCGAGCAGTCAGCACGCCTGGATTTTTTTCTTTCGTCTTTTCTTTTCTGTTCTTTTTTTTTTTTTTTTCTGAATACCGTTTTTTCCACCCTGGGAAACCCGAGGACGTTAAACTCCCCGTCTGAACCGAAGCCCTGGAGGAGTGCAACTGAGGTTATAGAAATCCAGGAGGGAAAATGACGAAAATGTTTTATTGTGAATAAAACAAGAGGGAGGAGGGAGAGGCGGAACTTCACAAAGGTGAAGGATGGGAAGTTCGGGGAACTGAGAGTTTAGCACCGGGCGGGGGGTTAATCATTATTTCCTTCAGTCTCTCTGAGGCTGCAATGGCACCTCCTCCCCAGCTAGCTCAACCCGTCCCACTTGTTTGCTTTTGTTTCAAGGGAAGGTTTTGCTCCTGAGTGGCTTTTGGGGGGATCCTGGTCCCCCCCCCGCCTGCAGCCCCTGGCCCTATTCCCCGCTCTGGAGTTACGTGCCAAGCCTGGAATAGGGACTTATCTTCCCAGCCAAGCTCCCAGGTCAACTTTCTCGTAGGAAAGCTGATTTATGCCTGTTTATATGTATGGAAAAAGGAGGCAGAAGCCAAGCCGGCATCCCTCCAAAATCTCATTGTCTTTGAGGCGGGAAGAGGGAAGAAAGGGGAGGCAGAAAACCTAAAATGATAAGGTTTGTCTTGTCGCGGCAGGGAGGACTTGACCACAAAGGCAAACATAGGGTTTTGCCTCACCTCCCCGCGGCTGAAGCCTTTTCCAGGTCCGACAAAACGACCGGTCCCTCCGTGCGCCTCGGCTGGGAAAACAACCAGCCTCCGCAAGCGCCTCTCCTTGGCGGGGAACCCTGCCCTAAGCGAGGCCCCGGCAAGTGAAACCCTAACAAAATTGTGGGTTTTCCCCGCTCCTAGACACAGGACCGGCCGTGCCCGGGGGTCCCTCATGCGCAGAGCGATGCTTTGGGGCAGGTGTGGGGACGGGAATCGCGCCGTCCGGCGCGATTCCCGTCCCCACACCTGCCCCAAAGCACAGCTCCCTCGGTCCTTCCTCTCGTCCCGCCACAGCCCAGGTGGCGGCGGGTCCCTCCAGGGAGGCGCTTCCCCGGGTGCGCATCCCCCGCAGCGGCGGGGAAAAGGGGGATTTAAACCCTGGTAGAGGGGATTTTTCGCCCCGTCCTGCCACGGAGGAAGACTCGGGATTGCGGTGAGGCTAGGTAGCAGGAGGAGTTTGCTCACGGGTTAAGCATTTGTGTAGGTGGCAGGTGAAAAAGCGCTGCGCCGGTTGTGGCAGATGACAAACAGGCTTAAGCGGGGGGTGGGGGGGTAGAGGGAGAAAGGGCATGGTATCATGGTATGATAGTAAGTCTTCCAAACGAGTTTGGCACTGTTCAGTTCCTGCCATATTAGCAAAGCCATAGTTGGGTTGTATTTTTTTTCTTCTTCTTTTTTTTTTTTTTTTCTCTTTTCCACAAGCCCACTGAGGCAGAGATGAGGCAAACTCAGCCATAGGAAGGTGGTTAATGATGTCACAAGTTTGGTCTTTTCAATAAAAGCAATAGAGAAGGGTCTCCCTCACTATATATATTAGGGGAAGGTTCTGTTCTTCATAATAAAAAGAGCAGCAAGGGAGAAAGGCACCTGCTTTTAACATCCTTTATTTAGCACTAATCTGTCGCAGGCAGAATAAAACCTCTGTAGGGCAGGATTTCTTCTGAAAAATATTACTTTTTTGATTTATTCCATTTCTTTTTTTTTTTTCTTTTTCTTAAGGATAGGACATACTTTTGGAAGTGATTGCTGAGAAGATCAACTGCTGTCGGCCAAGGTGATCTCTGAGAGGCACAGAGGGCTGTAACTCAAGGAAAAGGTGAAGTAATAAATTGTGAAGAAACTTCAGTATTGCAAGTTTACAGAGACTATTTATTTTTCCTGAGTCTGTAAGGGTTGGGGTGGCGGTTGCTATTTTTTATATTATTTCTGGGGGAAAGGAAATTCTAAAAATATTTGATGGGCATGCTACCTTTAACATCAGCGATATATGTATGAGTGTGTGGGGGCTGTTTTCAGGGGATGTCACAATAATTTTTTATTAGTCGAAAGGGCAGTGTAAATCAAAGAAGCCTGTTAACTATCAATTTTAATTTATAGCCTACCAGGTGTTCAGGGGACTTATTTACAGATTTAATGTTTTCAGCGCGATTTCTATTTCAGCTCTCGTGTTTTCGGCTTTATTTGCCTATGCGGTACAAAATTTGGCTAAGGAGCTGGGCTTTTAAATTGTGGCAGCAAGTGTCGTTGAACGCAAAATAACCTGCAGGTAGAAAAACGGTTTGCTTTGCGCCTAAACTTCCTCCAGAACGCGTTCCTTAATGCGGGGAGAGGATGAGAAGGAGCAACCACCCAGCACACCTCAGTGTTTTGTTGCGGCTTGTGAAGGTGTTGGGAAAGCAGTTGCTGTAAATCAGGCAGTCAGTGGCAGAAAACAGCGATCCCTCCGTACCTAGGGGCAGCGGCGGTGCCGCTCCGCGGAGGTTTCGTCGGGGTGCGGAGCGGAGCCCCGCGGAGGCTGCGCGGCCGCAGAGGGGTGCTGGGTCGCGGGATGCTACCGGGAGGGAGCCGGATTCCACCGAGTGGGTTTTGCTGCCCGCCTGGGCAGGGCCACCGCCGGCCCATCCTCTGCCGTCAAACAGGAGATTGGCTT